CCTTCCTTCCTTCCTTCCTTCCTTCCTTCCTTCCTTCCTTCCTTCCTTCCTTCCTTCCTTCCTTCCTCCCTCCCTCCCTCCCTCCCTCCTTTTTCTTTCTTTCTGTCTTTCTTCTCCCAGTTATGAGTGAGGACATGCAGTGTATCTCTTTCTGTGCCTGGCTTATTTCACTTAACATAATTTTCTTAAGTTCATCTGTGTTCCAGCTTTGCCATTTCTTAATTTTGTGACCTTGAGCAAATCACTTAACTTCTCTAAGATTTCAGTTACCTCTATGAAATTGGAGATTGAAATATTTGTTCCACCTACCATGCAAGATTGTTGGAAGGATGAGAGGCCATCATATTTGAGGACATGTACTGAGTAGCACATCCAGACAAGGAAAATGCAAGCTGCGATACAATCTTGCAAGGGAGTGGAGGTGGGGTGGAGGGAAGGCTGCTCCTCTGGCTTTGCCCCAGGACACCAGGGGAAGTGGCAAGAGATAAAGCTGACAACCAGGGCCAGACCTGCAACCTGTCACCATATTGTGAAGCTTGGACTTGTTACTGAAATGTCTGAACAGAGCAGTGACAGGATTTTATTTGCAGTTTAGAACATCCCCTATGGATGGAGGCCACCACCTGGTGGCAGCAAGGATCAGCCAAATTAGAGGACACAGGTCTCTAACTCTTTTCTCAAAAAAACAGTTATGACAAAGCATCTTTGATGACAGGACATATAAATATGTCTAACACAAAGTTCTGCCTTTCAAGGTGAAGAAATTCATGGGATCATAGGTTTAGGGGAAAGTTCTCTCATGAGGACATCGGGTCCATTTCCCTGGATTCAGGAGGATCAGGTGTTTTCACTCCCACCTGCCAGATGAGGCAGCTATGTTCAAAGAAGTTAAGTGGCTCGCTTAAGTGGTGGGAGATGAGGAGCCTGGACTGACAGCCTGCCTCCCCCCCAACACCACACATGTACAAACGTACGCACTCTCACACACACTACACACTCACAGACCACACACACACACACACACACACACACTCACACTCACACACACACACTCTACACACACACACACTCACACACACACACACTCTACACCCACACCCCCACACACACCCACACACACACTCACACACACACACACTCTACACACACACACCCACACTCACACACACACACACACACACACTCTACACCCATACCCACACCCACACACTACACACACACCCACACACACACTCACAGCAGTAATCCAGAGATCAGAGCTCTTGGTTTCCCAAGCCTTCTTCCACGTGAGTCCAAGCTAAGGGGACATAGTTTCTGAAGATCATAAAAGTGGTAATAATATCTCCTATTTTCCCGTAATACATAACATATATTATGTTTCCTGAGCACTTACTACATGTTGGACATTCTGCTGTGGGCTTACATGTATTATTAGTACCTCATTTTGTGCTCAAAGCACCCTGCGAGGCAGGTACTATTATTTTTAACTATAGGTGAAGAAGCAGACGTTCAGTGAAGCTAATTTACTTGCCGAGGCACCAAGTAAATGTGCCAGAGCTGGGCATCAAACCCAGGGAGCCCGACTGGAGTCTAAGCACCCTGCATTGTGGGTCCCGACTGGTGTAAGGTGAACAGCCCTAGAGGTGGAGATTTCTTCCACATCAGGGGAGACCGTGGCTTGGAGAAGTTCGGTGGCAGAGCCGTTCCCTCCCTAGGAACCCAGGCCTCCCGATTCCGCAGGCCTCCCCTCTGCATGGTGCCCCCTCCTCAGCCCAACTGTTCTTCCTTCCCAGTCTCAGGCCAGCCCGTCTCTCTGAAGAACATCTCTACAGACACGTCGGGTTACTATGTCTGCACCGCCAGCAATGAGATGGGATCGATGTCCTGCAACATCACTGTGGCTGTCAGACTTCGTAAGAGCAGTTTTGGGGTGGGGGACAAAGGCCAGACAGCAACTGGCTGGGATCCAGGGAGCCCGCTGAGACCACCATGGAGAAGAGCTGGGAGCCTGTTTAGGGCCCTCCACTTGCAGGCTTGCTGCAGGAACCTAGGCGGGACTAGCCAGTACAGTCCCACTTGTTCTTTGGAAATAGGGCAGAGGACTGACTGCGGAGACCTCCTCAGTCCTGCCTGCCTGTGGGTCACCTGCTGAGCATGGGGAAGGTTTCAAAGCCAGCTGTCACGGAATCACCCCATCCCTCTGGGTGGGACGCCACGTCAGCTCAGGGGCAAGCTAGAGTAGAAGCTGGCAGGGCTGACACCTGAGGACTTTCTTGGAGCCTGGGTATCCCAGAGAGTGAGAAGATGCAGAGCCGCTGTCTGTCTGTCCTTGTCTATGCCTCCATCCTGAAGAGCACTGGCCTGCCCTGCCTGGTCTCACTCCCGCTACCCGAAGCCACAGCTGCTGCTCCCCGGGCAGGGACGAGGCTCGGGAGGTGCAGCTGCTCCTCTGTCCTCTTGCAGCCTCCATGAACGTGGCGCTGTATGCGGGCATCGCGGGGGGCGTGGTGGGGGCCCTCATCGTCATTGGCATCATCGTCTACTGCTGCTGCTGCCGAGAGGACAAGGACAAGGACAGGGAGGATGCAAGGCCGTGAGTGTCGGGCGGGCAGCCTGGGGGAAGGGGCCGAGCAGACTGGAAACGTGCATCCCAACCAACTCCTCACAGCCTCTACCACTCATGACACCCCTGGGGCACAGTGCCCCATTTTGTAGCAGAGAAAAGAGCCACCTGCCCTAGTCATAAAGTGCGTGTGGTGGTCCTGGGACTTGCCTCCAAGGCCGTGATTCTCCAGCCTCTGTCTCAGGGCAGGGCTTTCTGTGGTGTGCCCAGGGCAGAGTGTGGGCTGGAGCCTCTGTCACGGTGCCAGTCCTTCCTCGGCCAGTGGAGCCAGCCTGTTCCTGTAAGGCCCTCAGTTCACAAATGGAACAAATTTGTGACACCTTCCTGTGCACTCTGAGCCCAGCCCTCCAGCCCAGTGTCCCTCTGCAGCTGGGGGGTGGGATGGCAGGTCTGCTGGCTGCTCTTCACATAGTGTGCAGTAGGCCCAGCCCCTGTGGGGGCCCAACAGGGGGCCAACCCTTCCCCTCTCTCCTCCCCTCACTGCCCTGCAGGAATCAGGCTGCCTACCAGGAGCCGGCAGAGCAGCAGAGAGAGCCTTCCAGAGGGCGGGAAGAGGAGGACAGCTACATGCTCGAGGAGCAGAGGAGCTCCGGGCGTGAGTCCCCTGACGACGCTGGCCGGTGACCAGGCCTGCTGCAGGCTGGGGTGGAGGAAGGACTCAGGATTCATTCCTCTGTTTCCGGGTTCCCTTCCCCTCTCTAACCCCATGTGTCTGCTGCTGGGGGGCTTGGCCGGTCTGGCTGAGGGGATCCTCCTGTGACTGACCTTGTCGACCGTGCTGTCCTGTGAAGTGACCGCCACCCCACTGCCAGACCTAGTCCGCGGCTTGGCCTTCACCCCAGCCCAGGCCTCAGCCTACACTCCCCTGGAGCTCCTGGAGGTGCAGCGTGAATGCTCCTGCTTGTCACTCTCCAGGGAGCAGTGCCAGCCTTAGAGGGCAGGAGCCTGCCCTGCTCACCTACACGCCCAGGCCCTAGGGACCAGCTGGCAGAGGGTCTGCACTCGATAGTCTGTTGTCGAATGGATACGAGAATAAATGAGTATGCGAAGGACTCCCTACTATGTGTTCAACTTAAGTTCAGACTCCTTGCTTGGGGACACACATTGGGGTCTGGTTCCCTTCACAGCCTCATCTCCCACAACCACCCACGCATTCCAGACATGCCCTCACCTCGCGCCCCCAGTGCACATGCCCTTGTGGGGCTTTTGCCCACGCACTTTCCATCTCTGCCTGTGAAAGTCCTACCTGTCCTCCAGGCCCATCACAAAGCACAGTGATTTTGACAACATCATCCTGATCGCCCATGTACATGGCAACAGTCCTGTCGCTTTGTCCCACATCTGTTCATGGGCCACGTGGCACTGTCATCTGAGCAGATGCCTCTCGCTCTGTTAGAGTATGAGCTCCTTGGGGCAGAGCCTGGGCCTTGCTGCTCCTGCCTCCCCTGGAGCCCTCGCAGCTGAATTTGGGAAACTAGTAAGGTTGGGCCTTCCCCTCTGTGGTCTCCCTGATGTGACAGCAGATACAAGGATGGCTTCCACCCAGAGCCACTTAGTTGAGTAAGTTAAATATGAATTGATTTAAAATGAACATGCATACAGGAGCTTGCTTGCAGGTGGGTCAGGGTTCTCATGTCCTGCTGATTCCTCTCAAGGCCAGGATAACTGGCGAGCCCTTCCCAGTCTGCGCCATATGCCTGGTTCCTGATACCTCACCCCCTGCCCAGCCCAGCCCATTCGGCTCGGGTTTGCTGGCTGGGCCATCTTGTGGTCATGGCTTCCCCTGCGTGTGGAGTGTTTCTTCTGCTCTTGTGAGCTCAGCAGTGTTACGGCTGCTTAGGTCTTGTGGCCCAGTGGCTGGTCTCGCCCAAATGCAGTTTACTATTAAATAAATATTATTGTCTTTTCTAGATGACCCAAAAAGCAGTTTCAGAAATCTATTGTCTATTTGTGATTTTTTAAAAAATGTACATTCTTATATATTTTGTTTAATTCTTTGCTTCCTTCAAATTGCTTTCAGTAATAAAATTGATGGTGGAAATTCTATTTCTTTTTTAATGTGGGTTTTGTTCAAGAGCTATGTCTGGTGGGTCTGTGTCTACTTACCGTAGGCCTCTCTGCTTCCTAGGAGAGGCAGGATGAGGGAGTTGAGAATACTGGGGCCTATTTCTTGTGGCCACAGCAGGGTCATGTGGTGTCTTGTGGTTGCTGGGGACAGGACAGAGCCCTGACTGGTAGTGGAGGTGTATTCCAGGAGCCTGCAGTGTCAGGAAGACTCTGGCGGCCCAGGAGTGAGTCCACGTGCTTCAAGGAAGGTGGTGGGGATGTTCTTCTGGTTATGCCCGCGGTGGTGGAGGGAGCAGGGAGCGATCTTCTTGCCCTTCGGTCTGAGAGGTCTGTGACTCTCCCTCCCCCAAAGCAGCTCGGCTGTACAGTCGGCTCTTCCCTCTGACATTGACTCTCCTGGAATGCGTTCAAGGTCCTCTCCTCCATGTCCCACTCCACATGCCCTGTGCTCGCTCCTGTCCCAGGACCTGTCACACGGTACCCCCAGGACCTGTGACCCTCTGCCTAGGCCTGTAAGATTCATGAGTATAGGAACCGAACCTTACTCATGGCCTCGCATGTGTTGACTACTGATAAAGGCTTGTGGAATAAATAATATTTGGTGTCACAGTATCTTGCCCAAGGACATCTCCTAGTCCTCCAGACACTTTGAGGAGCCTTCCAGCCCTCACAGGGCAAGGTTCTACAAGCACATTCTAGCTGTGGAAGGGGGGGCAGCCACTTTCTGCCGGGGTTAGTGTGACTCTCCTCTCTGCCCCTCAAAGGGCTTTGAAGTTTCACCTGCCTTAGCTCCAGGCTTAAGGAAGAAAATGAGGGAAATTGGGACCCTTTGCATCAACAACAAATATGAGGAGTCTTAAAAAGTTCATGGAAAGATTCGTATTATCTTTTAATTCCATTTTTCCATGAACTTTTTGAAGTATCTTTGTATTTTGTGAGCATGTACTACGTGCCAAACATTGTGCTGGTTGCAGGAAAGATGAAGGTCACTAACTGCTGTGCGTACTACTCAGAGGAAATAAAATCTAACGGAGGGTGACAGACCTGGGAACATAATCATGCGGGCTGGAGAAGGTGTTACAGGAACGTAGCTGAGGGTCTGAATAACTCAGCCTGAGAAAGTCTGAGAAAGCTCCAAAGAGGAGGTGACATTTGGGCTACATCCTCAAGAAAAGGAGTTTTACAAGTGGAAAAGGGCTGGTGCTGACATTTCTTCTGTCCTCCACTGCAGATCTCTATTACTTGGGTGTCAAATTGCATTATCGGTTGGTAAGACTACAGTTTCTTGCTGAATTTATTTTAGTCCAAAACTCAGTGGGAATTAGATGGTTGTAGGTTCTCCTATGGTCAAAATTAGCCCCGCAATACAGTCTCCTTTGGCTGTCAGGCATCACTTTCCAATTCACTGTTTCCAGCTGACAGTTCAAAGACTTACAGTGTCTTAGAAGAGAGACAAAGGCTACCATTGACTGAGGGAACATTGTATACTAGACAATTAGGCACTTCAGACAGTTTCTCACATAATCCTCTCTTAGAGTTTCAGATATTTCAAATATTAAGGCATATGGCAATGTAGTGTGTGCATGTTATCACTTAAGGAAGGACTCTGGATGCCCAGAGAGGTCCCCGCAAGGTAGTGTGTAGTTTGGTAAATTAGCCACTCTTCAAGGTCTTGTTCTGAAGTTGCTTTTGTGGCACAGGAACAGGGCATCAGCTGTCAAAGGCAGAGTCACATTAACCAAGCTTACAGAGCCTGATGTACAATACTCACAGCAAACACTCTGCACTTGCTTAGTGCCAGCCACTGTTCTCAGCACTGTCCACATAACAATCCTCATAGCGACACTATGAGATAGGTGCTATTATTATTCCCATTTCACAGACAAGGAAGCCGAGGTACAATGAGTTTAAGCAGTTTGAATAAACACAGTCAACTTGCTACTTACATCTGTCAAGTAGACCAGTCTTTGTGTCCACCTGACTCAGGACATCTCACCCCGTGGGCACTGTGCCCTCTGTTGCTTACTGGGAGTGGAATCAGAGCAAGAGAAGTTGGCTACCTTCAAGGAACTCTCATCCTCTACAGCAGTTTGCATAAGCAGCATCATATCACCTGTGGAGTCCTGGAAGGTCCTCTTACCTTGGCCCCACCCCTGGATAATCTGGATGAGGGCGCTGGGCATCTGCAGAAGTGACCCCATTGGAAAGTGTGGTCTTGCGGGAAAGGCCCCTTTGGGTACATTTGGCTATTGAGTTTGCTCACCAAGATTGCCTCTCCTCAAGTCGGTTTCCAGAAGGGCCCGGCCCTGCTCTCCGTCTGTGATGGCCCTTTCCCTGCATGCCCTCAGCTCCAGGTCAGCCCTTCCTACTCCCTTCTTTCCCATTCATACACTTTGCAAAAACTTTCCTCAAGTTCCAATTAAGTCTGTTAGGTCTGAGAACTGGTCTTTCTTTTTAAGGGGATATTGGATATTTCTGCTCTGATCTAGGTTGTATTGATTTCAAAGTATATCTCTAAGAAACCAATCTTATTTCCCTGATTTCCATGTTGTTGAGTGGACTTCTGTCTTAATTAAGATAAACTAAACTGCTGTAAAAAATGAACTAAAAATATAAACAAATAAATAAACAGACTAAAAATGTATGCGGCACAGATACAACACAAGTTTCTTTCTTATACATCTAACAGTATTTGAGACAGACTCAGGAGCCCAGTCTTCTGTTTATCTCCAACTGTTTACATCGCTGGGTTCCTCCATCCTCAGTGGCCCAGAAATTATCTGCAACCAGCCAGCAGAGAGGAAGGAGAACCTGACGAAGGCACAGCTGCCTTCACACTGTGACCCGGGAGTGGCCACACCGATTCCACCCACGCAGCACTGGTGAGCATAGTTACACGGCCGCGCGTCGTGCAGGGGAGGCAGGGAAATGCAGACTCATGACCTTGCTATATGTGCTCAGGAAGAAAAAGAATCAGCTGTTGGCTTCTGCCTCAGTTGCTCATCCTAACCTCCACCTGCCCTCTTCATTTTACAGATGAGGAACCTGAGAGATAACGCGAGATGATGTCGTCGTCACTGGCGTTAACAGGGCTTGCAGGTGGTAGACTCAATTCGGTCTGATTCTAAAGACTTCGGTCTTTGCGCTCTACCACTTTCCTCCTGACCTCAGGCATATACACAGGATGACTAGATGGGAAAATGTGGGAATGGAGGCAGAGTTAGGGTTTTTTGCTTTAAATTCGTATATGGTGGTTGTTAACTATCATAATACAGGCATTGCAGGTATAATACCATATATTCATTTCTGAAAAAGCTTGCATTCTGCAAGTCACACACTAAAAACAGTAGGACTTATGGGAAAATTAAGACTAGACGCAGACCACGTAAATCCAATGGAACTTTAAAAACCAATGGGACTTTTTGTAACTAGATCACTTTTAAAACATTGACAAACCTAGTGAGAATACAAATGACATTAAATCTGTGCTGTTAGCCCCAAGCATCACAGTCAGTCAAACTTAGTGTGAACGTTCATTTCTATAGAGACCTAAAATGATCCAGACAGTTCATCTGACTGTACAGTTGGGAGGGCTTTCTTTTAAAAATTTGGCTTTTATCATGTGAGCTGATTTTTAGTTATGTGCTTATCTTTGTACTTGAGGGTTTTTTGTTAGTGTATGGACATATCCCGCTTTTGCTGGCTGTGGATATATTGCAGTGTGGGGTGTACCATTAGCTCATCTTTTTGAAAAGAGATACAGAGTGTGGACTTCTTTATTGATTTATATATAGAGAGAGCACTTTTTGCATGAAAGGAAGACTCTTGTGGGAGAATATTTAGCTTTTTCCTTAAGGCCATCATATATTGCTTAGCCTTTGCTTTTCATTGTGGGACAACATGTTCCTAAAACCTTTACGTGCTGGGAAAGCCAACACCTCCCCCAGGCTGGAAGGGGCAAAGCGTGAGAAGGGGGTGAGCCCTTGCAGAGCCAGGGAGAGCTGGAGGTGTGGAGGAGGGGTTGCAGCAGGAGGTGGACTCATGGAGAGGTGCCACTGCCAGGACAGCAGCGCCTAAACTGGGAATGGGCAGGGGAGGAGACACCACGGCCACTTTCTCCTCCCACTCTCCCATCCTGCCCTGCCTCCCATTGGCAGAAGCCAAGCAGAAGCCGGAAGGCAGGGAATCAGAATCAGGCTTGCCCACAGTGGAGTCAGCCTCCTGGAGTGTAAATCAGGGAAGAAAAGGAAGAATAGAGGGGGAGGTAAGCGGAGGGGTGCAAATGAAGACCCACCACCACGTCTGCCTTCACCTGTACGCAATCGTGAGGATTCTGTCATGTGCTCCTCATCCCGCCCCACTCCCGTCTCCTGCACCTTTTTAAGTGTGTGTGTGTGTGTGTGTGTGCGTGTGTGCGC